AGTGTTGAAAGTCAGAGTGCATCAATGGTCTGCGATCCCCAACTGGCCTGGCAGGCCGCACCTCGGAAGCCCTGCGGAGCCGGGATGGTGACCACGCAGCAGGCTATCTCGGGCCTCCCGGCCTGGTGCAGATCTCACCGCCCTGTGCCTACTCCTGGACCGAGAAAAGCAGCTACGGATGACTCCGGGCATAGTTTCCTGGGAGCAATGGCCACCGAGCCAGAATAGGGTTTTGCTTACATCCTCAGCCTGACAAGGATAGCCCGCTTTGTCCCTTCTCGCTGCCCAACAGCACTCGCGAGGAGCGGGGAGGAAATCCGGGCCAGAGGCGAAGGAGGTGGAGCCGATGCCCAGGTCCGCGGCCTCCTAGGCGAGATTTCGTAGGACCGAGAATTTCGGAGGATCCCCAGAAGTGTGGCGTCGGGGGGTCCAGGTCCCAGGCCAGTCAGGATCTCCGTTCTCTTTTTCTCTTTTTACTTTTTCAAGGGAGCATTTAAGACTCATAGGCAAGAATGGAGAGGGGGAGGAAAAGGATGCAGTAACTCCGTCCGAACTGGAGGCAAATATCATTTTTACAACCTCTCAATTAGCAACCGAGTGGATTAGCACCTTCTTAAGCTTTGCCTAAGAAAGAAGCTGCCATAATCTTGTTGCTATTTCCCCCCAGGGCACTGGCCCTTTGAATCACCTCCTCCCACCACAACCCCCCACCCTCATCTCACCTCGTAGAAAAGTTTTAACCAGCAAACAACAACAAACAACAACAACAACAAAATCCGAAGGAGACCAGGAGCTGGGAGAGAAGGCCACTGACCTCATGGGGGGGGGGGTGGAGATAAGGGCTCAGAGAAGGATTCTTGGAAACTCCTAGGCACAAATAAGAAGAAACAAAAGGGACTTGGCCGCTTCCAACGTGTCAATATTTGGGGGGGGGGAGGGGATGAGCTCAGCCCTGAAGGAGGCAGGGTTTCAAAGTTTAAAGAGAAAGTGGTAAGAGCAAGATTTCCTTGCTCTCTCTGGGCTGGATTCAAGGAGACCAGGCGACCCATCGATTTGGCCAAGTACCTACAGTGGAGGCTACTATGGCCTGGAGAAAACGGGACCGGGATACAGTGCTGGGCACCATGACCAGGGGTGTCCCCCCAAATCGAGACGATTGGAAAGTCGCCATTTTAATTACGGCTTCCAACGCCACCGAGGCCCACCTGCTGCCCTTCAAGGCAGGGGTGTATGGGGGGGCGGGGAGATCATGCCTTCGGTTTTTTTTTTCTTTTTTCTTTTTCTCCACTCTGGATTTCCATCCACTCTGTCCACCCTTCTCTGCCCCCTGGCGCCGGACAAGGACCTCTCATCCGAGAGCGGGGAGCTCTGGGCCGTTTGGGAGATCGCGGTCCGCCAGGTAGGGCTCAGAACCCCCCTGGCCGGTATCCAGGCATCGGGGTGAGATCACGCAGCTGGTCCCCCAGCCCTCTCATCCTTAGCTTTCGCCCGAGTCTGCCCCATCAGGTCTTCCATCCCCAGGGCAGCCTCCTGCGAGGCAAAAATAAAAGTTTCCAGCTCTAGGAAAGTGTCTTTGGCACCTAGCTCCCGAACCCAGTTTCCTTTGCCAGTTGTTCGCAAACCTCCGAACTTCGACTCTTCCCCGGGCCCAGCAGAGGCGCGTTCGTGGCGCACTGGGACTCAACTTCTTGGGAGGAAAAACAAAAACAAAAATTCTCCACAGACATCCTCATCACTACGTAGAGTCCCCAAACCTCTCTCTCCGCAGGCCCTGGGAAAGTGGGTTCCCTGGATTGCGCAGCTGATAAATGTGTCCAAGAAATACGAAGGCAAAGGCCTCCCACGCCCCAGTTGCCTAGTTCCGGGTGCCTCCCCGGAACTGGGGGCCTCCCCGTCTTTTCCTATCTTCAGCAACCTGCAAAGTTCCTGATCACCCCCCCCCCAAGCCTCGCCAAGCCCGGAGCAAAGCGGAGCAAAGCCGAGAGCCCGCCTAGCAGCGCCTCCAAGCTGTAGCTACGCTTGGCTGGAGGAAGCCACGGCGCCCCTCGCCTTCCCGGTTTCTTTCCAAATAGTTACTGTGTCAGAACGCTCTGTGGGTTTGTTTCTCTTCCATTCCTACTAGGCAGCAAGATTCTCTTTTCTCTCCCCCTTTCCTTACCCACTGCACCCCCTCCATGCTTAAAACAAAACAGCATATATAGCTGGGTTTTTCATTGAAGAGATTTCTTGCAGCAGGCGCGGGTCAAAGCTTCAAGATTTGCCTTCTATGTTGTTATCTAGATAACAGCCGGGTTTCAAGTTCTTGATGTGTAGGACTCTTGAAATGTGCTCATAGCTTTGGATTCTTACAGATAGAGGTCCTACGAAAGTTTGCTTTCCATTCCTTTACCGTGGGAGGGACGATCCTTCATCTCCCCTTCCCCTGTTAAGCTCTATCCCCTCAAAAAGAAAAGTTAGCCGGTGCCACCTCAGTCCATATTCCCTAGTGAACCCCTCTCTTTATAAACAGCAGCCTGTCCTAAAGGCCGGGCACTAAGTCTTGCAGTTTTCTAGGTCCCAGGAGCTAAGAATTGGGGGCTTTGGGACTAGGGAGCAGGAGAGAGCAAATGTCATGGCTGGCTTGCTCCAGCAGCCAGAGAACCGCAGCTAAGCGCATCCTGACAGGCTTTTAAAATGACATTGATTGGGACAAGCTGTTCCCAACCCTAGTAAGAGTTAATCTGCCTGTTAATCAAGGCACTAAGGGGCTCAATGTGAGTTTTATTAGCGACTGGAGAACAGAGGCGGCAGCAAGGGATCAAAGCTGGGATCCCAGATATTTTGTCAGCGCACGCTCTTCAAAAAAATGTATTTTCAATTAGAGAACAATTCAGGGCTTTTCATCATTTCCTAACCCAGCCTCACAGATGGTGTTTTACAAACCTGCTTGGGGTGTGTTGGGGGGGGAGTGGGGAGAGAAGCTAGGGAGAGATAACCCACAAACCCCAGAAGTGTAGAGAGAATTGTGGATCACCTCAATCGAGTTTGGTCCTGGAAAATTTAAGAACGCTGAAGTTTCTCGAGTCCCTCCCAAGAAGAAAAAGAATGCAAAGTGAAGCAACAAATACCCCTAATATCGGCGTCCACCTCAATCTCCCATTCCCCAGATGCTAGTGGAATCTGACCACCTACCAGGGTGGGCAGGAAAGTTCACAAGGATAAGTCTCCTTCCATCTTTCCGGAGCTGCCTCCTCCCCTTGGTTGGAGGGGCTTGGGTTTCCTTCAGTTTTCTTTTCAAATTCTTAAGTGAATAAATAAAATTCTGGGCTTAGTGAAAATTTGAATAGTAATTCCTCCAATAATGCAAATAATATGAGAAGATGGGAGGGGTGAGAACAGACTGGCCAACCCACACATACCCTCTGATCAAGGAGGGGACAGGAGCGAGAAGGCAACTGAGGAAGTCCCCGGATCGCCCCCGACGCTGGGATGAGGAATCTGGTCAGAAGTAATTATGTCACCGAATTTTCTCGCTGTGACAGCCGAATAAACACAATCTCCAATAAACATCTCTAATGAGGGAGGAGGCCCGAGGATGGCTGGGGTTGATTTATGACTGGAGAAGGTCTACTTCCCACTGCGAAACGGGCAACCTGCTCACCACCCCAGCTCCCGGGGAAAAGGAACCTACAGAGGAGAGGAACGCCGCTCAGGTAAGGTGCATGGCTGGTCGGGCAGTCCCTTCGCTCGTTTGCCTGGCTTCTAGGTAGGGTGAACCAGCCGGGGTTGGGGCGAAGGGGGGGGATGTGTGTGTCTCAATCACTTGTCACAGGTACCTGAGGTCCAAGCCTTCTCCCAAAGTGCCTCCAGAGAAGGGCAAGAAAAAAGACACCAGGATCGCGAATGGGAGTTGGGGAAGGTGAGCGGGTAATAGATCTCCCAACCTGCCAGGCGGGGTGCTCTGGTGCCGGGCCTAAGCTGGCCTGGGCGTCTCTCTAGTAGCTCAGAGCTGGAATCCCGGAACTTGATCGCCCTGCGGAGCCACAAGTTGGTTTAAGTGTGGGGTCGTCTCTTACTTGATCTATTTGGGAAAGCTTCCAGCGCCTAGATCCGGACATTCCAGAACGAGACGGAGGCTGGGCGCCGCTCTCCGAGCGCACTCACTCAGTGGCCGGACTCCACTAGCGCCCACACACTTCCCGCCGAGGGAGAAAGCGCTGCCCCGCTGTAGCCCTCCCAGCAGTAACCCGAGCCCACATTCTAGCTCAGTGAGAATCGCTAATTATTAGGTCTTTCGAAGCGAAGCTCAAATCTCATGCTGGGGGCTTTGCGTGCTGCCTAGCTCAGGGCCACCGCATTCTTTCGTCCTCAGCTCCTTTTGGGGCAACGAATCTCATCTCTTTTAAGACTTTGTGAAGGTTCAACCACCCACCTCCACGTTGCAACTGCGGGCAACTTTTGCTGCACCTTGCCCTCCCTCCGGCGGGAGTGTGACCATGAGCTCGTGGCGCGGCTAAGGGGTGCACTTCTCCGCGCGTGGAAGTCGTAAATTGCATCGCGGGGTGGGCGGGGGGTGGGGAGAAGTTCTGGGTGCAGCAACCTGCATCCCTTCCTCTTGCAAGTCTCAGGATCGCAAGCGACTTGTGTAGACGGCAGCATCAGACATCCCCACCCCCACCCTCAGCTCCAGGCCAGACTGGAAGTCCGCTCTTGGGACTACAACATTTTGCTACTTTTGCAGAGAAGCATGCATGCTCGGCGCAGACAAGCCCTCCTCTTCCCCCTCCCTCACCCGCCGTCGGTAACTCCCTTCGATTATTATTATTATTACTATTATTATTATCATTACTACTATTTGGGGGGGGGATCGGATTTCTTCTCAAAGCAACTGTCTAGTAAGCCCAAGGGGTCACTTGGAGAGGACTTGGATTTGGGGAACGTGGGTCGCGGGCCACGGAGAGGCGCCTCGGGGCTGCGAGACGGGTCGGGGTGGAGGGCGCCCCCCGAGCCTGGGCGGTTACCTGGGAGCGGAGGGCGGGGTGGCAGGTGAGCCTGGCGGCGCCGGTTCCCACACTTCTCACCGCTGCTCGGCAGGGGAAGTGGCAGATCTGACAGCTGCGTTCTATGCGTGGACCTGCCCCAGAGTTTAAATGTCAAAGATAAGAAAAGAGGGTGCTCAGGCAGGCGCTAACTTTCCTTAATATCCACGCCAGCGCCGTCCTCATTGGCTGCCCGGCCCGCGTGACGTCACGGCGGCCAGAATTGGGCGCTGCGCGGTGCAGGCGAGCTTTCCCGGCCAGCGCGAGCCTGCCTCTCCCCGCTCAGCCTCCGACCCGCTCCATACCCGAACTCTGGCTTTCCCTAGATCCTGGCTGGTGTCTGCACCAGCCCAACCCTGCGCTGGCCTGTCCCGTCCTCTTTGAGGGAGTAGAATAACCACCTCCAACACCCCAACACCACCCTTCCGCCCTCCCCACCCCCAACGAGTTCCGTTCGGTGGAGTGCGCTCTTTCTCACCATCCCGCATGCCGATCTCACGGTTGGACCACCTTATCTCCTCTTGGATTCTCTTGAGAGGGACCCATATACCTCACTGAGGTTTGTGAAGGGCCCGGGGCAGCACCCGATTTCTGGAGGAGCTCCAGGTGCAAAGGAGAACCTGGACTCATGGCCCCTTGCGAGCCTAAGTAACCAGCTGGGCACAAGCAAGACCTAGGAAGAGGATGAGCAGTCCCTTCCCCAAAGCAGGCCAAACCTGGGCCTACTGTGTGGGTTTGTTGTTGCTGTTTCTGTTTTTGTTTGGTGAGGGAAGTCCCACTTGGGATTTGCCTTCCTTCATCTCATGGACTGAAAGGCCAGTGTAGGTCATTATATGCATCTTTGACTTGGGGTTTAACGATTGACTTTGTGGCCTCAAGAAGGAAAATGAGAAAAACCTCAGAGTCTAAAGTCAAGATTTCTTCTCCAGGTGGCAGAGTAAAAGGCTGAGCGTGGGAAGAGGTCAGGAGCAGGGTGACCTCCCATCTTGGAGTGGATACTCATACCTGTTTTGTCACCTTTCCCCAGGGAGAGGGGTTTTTGAACTGCCAGTCTCTTCTGAACTGCTAGACTTAGGAAGTGGCTTGAGTTCAGGCCTGGAAGGACAGAGGGTGCTTGAGAGGGTAGTGGAAGGGAGCGGGAGGAACGGGGAATTATCTTTAGGGAAATGGAAGTCTGGATGGCTCTAGATGGGTCTGTGGCTGTCAAGGTATGGTTGGGGCACTGGAGACCACAAGGGCGAGAGCCTGCACACCTTGGTCAGGTGGGGGAAGTGAAAGATGATGTCAAGGTGCAAAATGGAGAGGTTCCCCCTCCACCCCCAGCCCACTGTGACAGGTGTGGGACTATACAACCTGCTGCTGGAGGTGGGCTCCTGGCAGCCAGTGGGCCTGCCTCTGTTGACCTGGCCAGCTGGCAGCTGGACTTGATATTTTATTAATCTGGTTCAGTGGATTGATCCAGCAGGTTGGGGTGGGTTGGAGTAGGGAGGAGAAGAAAGGGAGGCCTTTAGGGGAATGGGTGGGGAGGGGAGTTGTCTTCTTTTTCACAAACCTTCTCCATACTTTGCTCCAGCCAGCCCAACTCTCTAGTGTTGTCAGGTCAAAGCTTCTACTCTGGACTCTAGCATGGACCCTTTTGGGGTCCAGTTGCTTCAAGCTCTGCTTGGCTGGGGAAGTGGCACTCACACACTAGGGTTTCTTCACTGTAACCAACCATCTCCCTTGACCTAGATTTTTGGTAAACCCTTAGTTTCACTCCAGGACCTGGTTCAGCCCTGGTGTCAAATGTCCTGATGGTTTCTCTACCCCATCATCCATCTAAGGTGTATAGGTGGGTGAGTTGGGGGATCCCAAGGGCCTGGGCCTGGATGATCCTTTCCTGTAGTTTCTCTTGCCATCTTCACCCAGTTCCAAACCGGAGGCTGCTGAGAGGGCTGCTCTGGGCTTGTTTGGAGTTCAGGCCATTAAGTGTGCGCTGGATCCCTGCAACACAGCAGAGTACTCAAGAACAACACTGGAAACGCCACGGTCTCCGCCTGCTTATCTGCCTGTCAATAAAGGGCACACTTGGGCCCCTCTGGAGAGCCAGTGGTAGAGGCGAGGGCAGACCTCAGACCTTCCAAGCTCCGGGCCAACGCCAGAGCCTCTCTCCAATTGCCCCGGGCAAAGAAGGGGTGGGGGAGTTGGTGCTGGGATCGTCAGTCACCCTGACTGGTATAGGTTTAGCTTCAGTCTAAGCCTGATTCTTCAGATAGCTGATGACCCCCAGAACCAAGCCAGAACCTGTGGGCTGGGGACTCCTTTCTGTCTCTGTAGCTAATCTTGGGGGAATCTCCCTTAGCCCTGTGCAGTGCCTAACCTTCAAGATCTACCTTTCTAGGCCCTGTGATGATTCACATCTAGGGAGGGGTGGGGGGTGTTCGTCCCCACGGCACCGCAGATAGCCCAGAGCTTAGTGGACTCCTCTAGTGCTCCAAATGGGAGTGTTACCCCAGGCAGGCTGTAAATGGGGAGCAAAGACAAATTCCTTTTCTTCCAGGCTTCTCCAGAACCCTGACTAACCCAGACTGCAATTCTCTGACATTCAGGGCAGTTCCACGCTTTGATTTCCACAGCAGCCTTGAGCTAGTTCAGACAGCTGCCCAGCTACCAGAGGCTCCTGGGCCAACTCTGGTCCTAAACTACTTGGAAGTCCAGACTACCACTCCATTTGGGAGGGGGCGGGAGACAAGTACATGAGGGTGAGTCAATAGGGAGGCTCTGGAATAGGGAGATTGGAATGGAGGAATTGGCTGAAAGTCTAGAGTGTGTGTGTGTGTGTGGGGGAGGGGGAGTCAAGATGGGGGGAGAAGAGAGTTTGGTCCTGGGCTTGCACTATAGCACAAGACTTCATGTTTCTGTACAAAAAGTATGTATGCTCCTAGCCCCTCCTCCTCCAAGTTTCTTGACTCTCTAACTTCTACTACTTTATGCAAATAAATCACCTTCCAGATTGATAGTCTCTCTCACTGGAACTGGATACTGAGTGGATGGGAACTGATTCAGTATTTGTCTTTTCATGGAGAATGAACACGGAGTCTCCCAAAAATTGAGAGGTGGAAATGAATGTTTCCACTTATATTTTCCAATTTCATCCTGATAACTTTTTTTTAATTAAAGAAGAGTATTCCTGGGTGAATGCTAATTGATAAAGGAGTTTAATGAAGGTTCCCTTATTAAAATTAACAGGAGGAGAGAGGAAAAAGTCTCTACAAAATCGGAATAAAAGCACAGTATATACTTGCAGGTCCTCTCAGACAGCCACACAGCCAGTAATGCTAAGACCATCTAAGGAATGAAATGAACTGAGCACATTTGTGGTTCCTGCTCTTCTGTCCTTCTCCTCCACTTCCTCCCTCTTGAATAGCAAACTTGTTTTAACAAGATCTTTATTTTAAATCAAAACGGGAGGGATATTTTGTGAGTTCAAGCATCAGAAAGGAGAATAGTTAGCAAAGATAATATTTGCCATATCTTCACGCTTGTCTAAATGACAGCTTAATAGCATGCTTATATGTGATCCTGTGGTATCTCTGCTATCAATTATTTTCCTGCTCTCATACAAAGAAATGCCTTACTTCCTCTCTTCTCTTCCGTTTGTTCCACCACACCATGAAAAGTTTTCTGGAACCTTTAAGAAAATCTCCAATCCTTCCAGCTTTTTTTTTTTTTTGCTACCTAGAAAATCTCTTGCTACAATCAATTCAAGAAAACTCTGCTGTCTCGTCCTTTTAAACATTTTCATATTAAGTCAGTTTGCGGCACCATGTTTGATTTCTTTCTCTCCCTTGTCTTGGTAGAGATGGAGACATTAGCTGAATTCCCTGGGGGTGATTGGATGCAATTCACTGAAAGTAGACAGGCACGTCCTGGATGTTAGAAATTCACTTTTTCTCAACGTGACAAGGCCGGCTTCGATCTACAATTGTATTTGAATGGGCAATGAGCGGAAAGATCTCTCATCATTAAGTCTGCTTCTACTTTAGCAAAATAAGGCGAGCCTTCATTTGCACACAAATGCTCATAAAACAGCATCTCTGAAACTCTTTAATAAAAAGGAATGGCTGTGTAATTTAAACTGGAGGTGAAAAGAAGAGAGAGAGAGAGATAAGAGAGATGGAGGGAATTGGTCCACATGGTTCTATTCCCTTTGCCCCAAAAGGTTCATGTGATCGAGTTGACTTTTTTACTTTAAATCTTAAATAAGATGTGAGTTGTAACAAGAGGATTGGCACTTACTCCGTGACCCTTATAATTGGATTAAATATAGACTGAGACATACAAAAACACACCAAGATTGACACCTGCCAACTGGACTTCCTTATGATTGATTGTGATGCTTCGTGCTGGCAACAATAATGAAATAAATTGTACGGATAAAACAGCACATTTGTCATTTCCGTGCCATGAGTGAGGAAGTCAACGAGTTAGGCAAGCTGTTAGCTGACAGGCGCGAGCAGGAGGCAAGCTAAAGAGATAAATAAGGATTCCAGGCATTGACAGGACAAATTATAACTTGTCACAACCTTTTTAAATTCAGAAGTTTTCAATTAACATATATATTGCTGTTACATATAAGATAAAGGGGCACCTACATAAACATATGAAGGGTAAAACCCCTACTCCAGCACCAAAAGCTTGGACACTGGAGCCTCTCTGGCTATGTTAAAGGGCAAGCACTCACCTTGGTAAGCCAAGGCACCCAAGGACCAAGGTTTCATGATCTATCCCTCTCCCTTCCCTTAGTAATGTGGGTGACAGGCTGACGGGTGGCTCCTTCCTCCACTCAAACCCATGGTTCCTGACTGCAGCATTCTTTTCTCTTAGAAGCAAAGCTCCCTGTTGTTGAAAGAGCTTGGTCAAGTCTTGTGCCCAGGTTGGCACTTCTATCCCTGCTCTCCCTGTGTCTACACATGGCTGTGAATGGACTTAAGGGGTAGACAGCAAAATAATCTCTCCTTTACTTTCCAAAAATTTGCTCTCAGGAGATTTTCTGAGCTTCTGGACCCAGTGTCTTACCAATGACCAAAACAAGCTCTGTATCCTACCAAGAAGAGTAGCAATCCCCCCTGTTCAGCCATTCACTTTTGTGCAAG